GCAGTGCATCAAAATTCAGTGTCATCAGTTTGCCAAAAAGAACACAGAACGTTTTACGCACCATTTACACATGGCAGGGAGCAGGTGTAAATTTATTTGGTCCCAACTAACATTTTGAAAATACGAACACTTTCATGAATCCGAAAATTTACGTCAGAACAGCTTTACGAACGATTTACACAAACATTTATTCTGCTCGTGTTTCATGAATGAGGCCCATTGTTTCTAAGCAGCTTTACAGAAAATCATGATGTTATTGTTAGTAGTATCTTAGTTTCTTCAGTCTTTATAGTCACATTTAGCAGATATGCTTTATGTGAGTGTACTGTATGCACTATATAGCCAACTTTGCATACAGATCTGTGCGATAATGTAGTTTACATTTTGCAACAGTATTAACAACCACACAGCTGAGATTTGCAATGTATATATTGCTTTTACGTGAGTTTGCTATGTGTATGTAGGTAAAACTGGATATTTATCCAACTTTAAAGGTGCCATAGAATGGAAAACTGTATTTACCTTGGCATAGTTGAATAATAACAGTTCTGTACGTGGAAATTACATACCGTGAGCATCAAACAACATTGTTTCCTCCTTCTTATATAAATAACAGAGTAAGGAGAGATGACTGAGGATGATGGCGAATGATTTACAGATCCTGAGCACCACTGACAAGCATCTGATCTTGTAAAATGTGTGGTAAGTACTGCCGCTGTAGTTTACACAGAGCATGTGTGATCGCAAATCTTGAAAGTGAAAGTAAAAAGCGATAGTACATTCAAAAACAGTTTCAATGCCCCGCATATTAATAGCGGCTCCCTGATGTCCGCATTTTATATACAGTATAATTACACAACGATATAACTGCGAGAGAGAGTATTGAAATGTATATTTTCCCTGTGTTTCCTTCATGCTGTGTGAGCTACTGAAATGAGCTGCACTGTGAAACAGCCAATCAGAGCAGAGCTCAACATTGAGCCGCACTGTGAAACAGTCAATCGGAGCAGAGCTCAACATTATTATAGTATAGCAGCCTGGTTTGGTAATTTGAAAGTTACTCTTAGATCTCAGCTGAACCGTTTGGTGTGTACTGCTATGAAAGTGGTTGGTCTGAGGGTTTATCCCAATTTTCAGTCTGTTTTTAATAAGGTTATTCTTAAACAGGCAATGAAAATGACTCATGTGCTTCAGCAAGAATTTGAATTACTTCCTTCTGGTCGACGTTTTCGTATTCCGTTGTCTAGATATAACTGTTATAAAAACTCTTTTGTTCCTTTGGCTACAAGGCTGTTAAACTCTGATTCAGGGGACACAACTGTGTGATTGTTATTATTGATGTTGGTACTTTGTTGTGCAGTTTTACCTGTATTGCCCAAAACAAATTTCCCTCTTGAGGGACAAATAAAGTAAAGATTGA